TTGAAAAATTTGTTAAATTGTCATATTAATGTTAGTTTTTTTTATTGTAAATTGAGTAATAGTTTAAGTCATTTAATCGTAATTTCAACGTAAGGAAAAGTTTTCATCTGGTCAGATGTTTTTGCAAAAAGATGTTATCGGACAAATTAAATGGCCTTGTTTACTAACAACGCCACGTGAAAGATAACGAATGCAGGTGTTTGGGCGACGAAGTGGTGTTGCGAAAATCGCCGAGGAACTACGATATGGAACGAAGAATGGGAAATAAACGAGGTTATTTTTCGCGTCGATTCAAAAAGCGTATTTTTATTGCTTAGAGATTCAGTCCAGGTTAAATAGCTCTAAAATAATTTATTTTAAAAAAAAAATAGTTACCGGGCGAAACCGGATTTTTCAGCCAGGTGAACTGAATAGAAACTGGGAAAAAATAAGTAAAACAGCTAAATTTTTCCGCGGGTGAAATCCCGGAGGTGCAAATTGTGGCAAAACTATTAAGTTTAGACGAAAATGTTAAATTTAAAAGTTATAAAGATTAAAAAAATGAACAACTTTTGTATCTGCACTATTTTCACATAACCTCCAATTTTTCTAGAAAAACCGGAAAAACTGTGTTTTTCGTCTTTTATTCTTATTTTTACGAAAAAATGTCGTAGGGGTTTGAAATTTGGAGGAAACAGCTTGTTTTATGATAAAAAAGAAGATAATTTTTTGGGCCTGTAAAGTTGAACCGTTTCCAAGATCTCACGATTTTTGAAAAAAACCACCTCTTTTTCAAGGGGATGAAAAATCTATTTTTTTCATCGTATAGAGGTGTGCGGGGTAGCAAAATTTTCATAAGGACTTACATTTTAATAATCAAAAATAAAAAATATTATTCCAATAGAAACATTTTAAGAAAAGCGGCAAAAACGGGGGGAACAGTTTTAAGATATACCGTTTTTGACTAAGTAAATAGCTTTTTTTTGCAAATAAATTCACGTATTGGATTCGCGCTAATAAAAAGTTTTTGAAATCTGTCTTCTCACTTACTCCTCTTCCTGCCTGTTTTACAGCTGATGGGATTAAGCTGGGCCTGTTGATCCTTAATTTACAGGAATTATGAATAAAATCCTCATAAAGTTTATTCCAGGTTTTACATCTCAAATCAATTTCTTTAGCCGGTAAATCTAACGTTCTCATTGCAGATTTTGCAAGTTTATCAACAGGCCCAACGCAATTGCATCATCATAAAACAGGCAAGAAGAAGAGTCCGTGACCAACAAGAAATTGTTCAGGAATCAGGCAGCAAGATAATTTATTTCGAATTGTTTTTAATGCGGTAAAAATGCAGAAAATAGTTATTTGTTTCATTAGTACAAAAAATGTCAGTTTTCGGGACGAGGAAGATAGTTGCTGGACGACGCGTTAGCGGAGTCCAGCAACCTTCCGAGTCCCGAAAACGCATTTTTTGTACGAATAAAACATAAAATTTTTTCTCCAACCCCCTTTACTTTAAATTATATTCGAATTTAGATTCAGTTCACAGTTTCACTACTAGTTTGAGAACTTCTGCTTTCTTGTCCTTGTCCTCACGTGTCATGCCACTGTAGTATTTAGGTTAACTTATAACCTATTCGTTCTTACTTCTCACCTCTCGCGACTTTGTAGGGACCAAATCTAAGGTAGCATGTTCTGCCGTTTTTATAATCTCTGGCGGAGTGCTATCCATGTCGCTATCAGTTTCAGACGTTTCAGTCTATTGTATACAAAATTAACATTGTTATATTTTGTATTGAAATAAAAAACTTACCATACAGTTTTTTAATTAAAATTAATTGCAATTAACTTTTTCAAATTTTGAATTCAAAATGACAGATAATAGTGCAATGTGTCTTAAGTAGATGGCGTTACGCGCGACGGCCGGTTGTATACGTATTAAAATTACGTTCACCGAATATGTAAATTACGTTACACATGGTTTAAATAAAAATAGCGAGCGTAAATCATTTTCATTACATGTAGATACGTATAGGTAACAGCATTATTTGTATTGAATATGCAAAAATATTTGATTTGTACGTATAGAAATATCTTACAACCTGCAATGTAAAACGATGTCAATGTGACATATCTCCGTGATAGTAATTTTTTAATTGGCCAACTTTCAAGGTCAATTTCTTTTTGGTACTAGGACCAAAAGTATCCACTTTTTGTACAGTTGCCATGGTGATAGCGATTAATCCGCAAAACGCCAATTTTACGTATCGAACACTGTCACAAAATAGCGTCTTATTCAGGTGGTTGGAGAAAAAATAAATAATAAAGATGTTTTAACTAAAACAGTTGAACATAAGACATCAAAAGAGAAACCAGAAGACAGATTTCGAAAAAATCTTTATTAACATCCAACATGTTGATTTATCATGTCAAAAACCGTGAATATCTTAAAACTGTTTTCCCAGTTTTTGGCAATTTTCTCGAATTTTTGCTATAGAAATAATATTTTTTATTTTTGATTATTAAAATGTAAGTCGTTACGAAAATTTTGCTACCTCGCGCACCTCTGTACGATGAAAAAATAGTATATTAAGATACAAGTGTATAATCAAGTCTTTAAAGCACGCGCAACGAGTTTAAGGGCACGACGCAAAGCGGAGTGCCTTTAACGTTGCAAGTGCTTTAAAGATCAATTATACACGTGTATCTTATAGTATTTTTTATTATACCTGCAGTATAATTTAAAAATAGGAAATACAATGAAGTCATATTGACGTTATACTCGAATACATGTCTAATTAAGTGGGCTGGGTGTTCGTAATTTCACGATTGCCATGGAAATGTCACTTGACGTTTGCTTATAAAAATCATCGTCTTTGTGAATTAAACGATTTCCGTTGAAAAAGATAATACACCGTCCATTAAATCGATTGTTGTAAAATCTAAACAAACGTTGGTAGGTGTAAAATCCAACTCCAGTAAAGCCTATTATAAAGAATATGAAAAGTTGTTTCCATGGATGAATAGGAAGTTACTTACGAATACAGTCTTAAATGCATCCATAATGCTAGCATATATGAAGGAAATGTCAAAGGTATTTAAATCTTCTATATTTTGGTGCATTCATTCAAAACTTTAAAGCAATGCTGCGATTAAAAAGTGGAACAGATTTGGAAGCATACCCTAAATTACGCGCGTTTGTGAAAGCTTCAACCAAAGGATAGGTACAAAAGCCAAAGAAATGTTCTGCATTTACAGAAAGCGACCTAAGAGGATTTTTTATTTCATCCAGATGACAGTTTCAAAAGTCATACTTGAAGTATCGTTACTTAGCAACTTTAAAGCACGTGTGTTTTAAAGGCCCTTTTTCGCACGCATTTGAGTGTTTAAAACGGAGATTGTGATTCAGGTATAATAAAAAATAGATTTTTCATCCCCTTGATAAAGAGGTGGTTTTTTTTCAGAAATCGCGAGATCTTGGAAACGGTTCAACTTTATGGGCCCAAAAATTATCTTCTTTCTTATCATAAAACAAGCTATGTTTCCTCCAAATTTCAAACCCCTACGACATTTTTTCGCAAAAATAGGAATAAAAAACGAAAAAAACAGTTTTTCCGGTTTTTCTAGGAAAATTGGAGGTTATTATGTGAAAATAGTGCAGATACAAAAGTTGCTCATTTTTTTAATCTCTATAACTTTTATATATTTAACATTTTCGTCTAAAATTAATAGTTTTGCCACAATTTGCAAAACACCACTTTCCACCCCTTTCAACCCCCGGGATTTCACCCGCGAAAAAATTCAGCTGTTTTAATTATTTTTTCCCAATTTCTATTCATTTCACCTACCTGAAAAACCCGGTTTCGCCCGGTAACTAATTTTTTTTGTTACAAAATATTATATAGTCTGGACTATTATTGGTCCCGCACAATTCAGACAAATTTTTAGTAATGTTAAGAGATGTCATTTCAGAAACAGAAAGTGTGAACATCACCATGGTTTCAAATGGATGCCCTCGGCCCCCACACATTCCAAACATTTTTTAAACGGCAGATTTCCAGGGCGGTGGATAGGGAGGTCTGGTCCTGTACCATGTATAACGTCTAGATGGAAAATATAAATCAATTAAAAGATCACATATGTACCAATTGTTTATTTATTTATTTATTTATTTATTGTCCCTCTCTTGTTCTGGGCCCTCAACAGGCTTGCACCCAATAACAGAGTGACCCGCATAATGCTTTTTTAGAGGTGCCTCTGCAGAAATAATAAATAATCGTTTTTTAAACAATTTAATTAAATAACAGAGCCAACGGTTCCCAAACAAATTTTCGTTTGTTTGATACTGCGACATTATTTATGATTTCGTTTTGCACAGATCCTCCAAAAGCGAAGACATACAATGTTGGCAATCATAAAACGATAAAACTTTAGAAAACAAATACATCGTTTTTAGACCTTGGAGTTAAAATATGAGGCGTATTCGCTTCCACCTAAATAAGTGTAGTTTTCAGTCATCTTGCATCCAAAATTATCTAAAATTGTTTTCTACCAAATCGTTACACACCAACAGAAAACATCGTTTTCTCTGCTATACCTACAACTCACTAAACCATGTACCTATCATAAATAAGACATTTTATCCCAGAATGTTAAACTCACCCTTCCCCTTTATAAAAGCTGAAAGTATTGTTTTGACTTCCTAACAATTTTAATGAATGATAGATACAATTAAACTAGTCGGTACATATTTGAAACTTTCAGTCTAAATAATTCTTCAGGTAACGCCCACATTTATCTAGATACAAATATGTTAGGAAATTGATCAACGACAAAGACACCAAAACTGATGCACCCTCGGGAAGATTGCATCATTGTTTTTGGTTCCAAATACCCCAGTAATACTAAGTTAAATACGTGCAAATATTCAGATAAATTTCATCCTTCTATTTGTTGATCATGTTGTAAATTTAGTAGATTTATTCAACATATGATAGTAGTAGCTACTATAAGCATAACAAGGTTGTAAATCTGCGATAAAGTAGGTAGTCTCCCCTTAGGTATAAAAACGGTTTAACCAACAGAGCAGACACCATTCTTCTTAACGCATCGTCTGCATCCAGAGTCATGAAGGTAAGTCATTTGTTAATTCAAATTTCCTAGTTATCTTTTTTTATATTATTTTAATTAGAAAGTGGCTTTAATTACGCTGATGGTGATAGTTGTATTTGCCGTCTTTATAGACCAGGCTAATGCTCAAATTGACTGGGCGTGCACTGCAAGCTGTTCAATCTGGAATGCTTGTAAAATAAGGAATATGTATGAAGGTGAAGATGTAGCCGAGTGCGGTGATCCTCCGCAAGGATGCAAATGTGATGTTATAGCAACAGGCAGATGATGTAGTAGTTGGCAGATAAGGGCATATCTGGGTGTTGACAGATTCATTTTTGTTTTGCGTAATATTTAGCTTCACTTCACTGTTAAAAGCACACATTCAGCTTAAGTCTGAAACATTCACTGGATGTCATGCATAAGTAGCCTTATTTAGTTTACTCTTCAATCTTATTAAGTATATATTATAATACATGCTTTGTTGCACTTTAATTTAAATAAATACGTTTGTTTGGTTTAATCCAATACATTAGAGAAAACAGGCACGTGTTTAATTAATAGGTATAGATCATTTGATTCACATGTTGGATGAAAACCTGTGGTATTGTACAAGCTACCGGGAATTCAGGATGCAAGCACTACCATAATGGTAAAGGCCAGCGTGCTTGTCCGCACAGAAACTGTAATTATAGTGGGCAAGGTGTAGATAAATCGTGTGCTCTAGAATTTGCACGCTACCCATCTACTGCTAAAGGGCGCAAGAAGAACGGTATGAGTGACCTACTTTGTAGGTCAATGGTAGAGCGTTGGGCTGACGGGTCTGTTACAGTGCCCCCCTCCCCCGTTTGGCATACGACCCGCAAACATTTGCACCGCATTGTCTGTACCTAACAGTAAGTAGCACCCAACTTTTAAACCTAGCACTAGCAAGGAAGACTAGTAAAACAAATTAAAAGGCGGGAGGGGCCAATGTAACGATAGCCCCTCTCCCGTTTCGTCCAAGAATCCAATAACATAGCACCGGTTTGTGTCCACTTAGCACTTATCTAGCACCCAAGTTTGGAACATAGTACTAGCATGGAAGGCTAGTAAAACAAATTGAAGTGGGGGGGGGGGCAATGTAACGATAGCCGCCTCGCCATTTGGCATAAGAATCCAATAATATAACGCAAATGCAAATGTTTGGGGCGTATGTCAAACGGGGAGGGGGGGGCACTGTAACGGACCCCATTCTGCCGGCTACTCTGAATTAGGTTTTCCTGCAGTTTTGCTAGTTCGTAAGGTAAATACCGGAGTAGTACAGACCAACTGAAGAAGATGGCGATATTCTTGATTTTCTACCCAATTCAATGCTTAACTAAGGTATCTTCGATTTTCAGAAACAGGATGTTTGTTCTCGTATCCTTCGTGCAGCTCCAGGTATTCAGTTTCCAGATCTGAAATCCTTTATGTTATTGGGATCTCCTCTGAATACATTCTCTATAAAGACTTGTCTTATGGCCAAATTAGAAAATTTCAAAATTTTGTCGACCCGTTTAAAATTAATATCAGCTCATCATGGACTATTTTTACTCAAGAATTGTCTAGCTGTACCAAAGCTGTTGTACATTTTACGTACATCTCCTGCATTCCTTGTTACTGACTGCCTAGCTGCTCTTGATAATGAATTTATAAAAGCTATTGGATCTGTTTGTAATATTGAAATGACTGATACAATATCGTTACAGTCCAGTCTGCTGGTTAATAATAGTGGTTTGGGAATCAGAAGTACGGAAAGATTAGCTCTTCCAGCCTATTTGACTTCGATCTTTTTCGTGCTTCCTGTCGTTTCTCAGATTATTGATTTCAATGATGCAGAATGGATTTCTGATACAATTAACCAATGGAAGATACTTGCTGAATCTCAAGAACCTGTTGAAGAAACTCGTCACATCCAAAAATTTTGGGACACTCCTTTGGTTGAAAAGTTATTCGATCAATTGTTCAATAAATTCGTCAATGATCCAGTACACCAAGCAAGGCTGTTAGCACTGAAAGAAAAAGAGTCAGGCGCTTGGTTACAAGCTCTTCCTGCAAGGCAAATCTCCACACATCTTGAAGATTCTGTTTTGCAGATAAGTGTTGCTTTACGCTTAGGTGCTACAGTTTGTACTCCTCATATTTGTAAATGTGGTGCCAATGTGGATAAGTTTGGGCATCATGGTTTATCTTGTCAGAAGAACACAGGAAAGTACAGTCGCCATCGAAACATCTTAGAATGTCAGAAAAGAGCATTCCATGAGGCTGGTTATTCAGTCATCTTAGAACCTCCTCATCTTTTTGGAATTGATAAAAAACGACCCGATGGGAGAACTTTAACACCTTGGATGGAAGGACGATGTCTGGCATGGGACTTTACTTGTGTTGATACCTTATGTCCTTCATATCTCTTCTCCTCGGTGAAGAAAGCAGGTTCTGCAGCCGCTTTAGCTGAACGCAGAAAGAAAAATACTTACGCTGCTTTAGAACCTACATTTATTTTTAACGGATTCGCTGTAGAAACCATGGGTCCGTGGGGAAATGAAGCCAAAATGATGACAGCGGCAATTGGTAAAAGACTCAGGCAAAAAACAGGAGAGTCCCGCTCAACCCAGTTTATTTACCAACGGATAGGTATAGAAATTCAAAAAGGCAATGCCGAATGTATTTTAGGAACTTTACCTTTTTTTTGTAATTCTTTTGATGAAATTTATTATGTTTTAAAACCCCGTTCTTATATGTAATTTGTTCTTGTTCTATTATTTTCATTAAACGTTTATTTATTTAAATTAAACGTTTATTTATTTAAAAAAAAATGTTTTTATTATTTCATTAAATACGTAATAAAAATCCAATTTTTGTTCAGTTGCTTTTTCGCTGTATGGAATTCTCAAGACATATGTCTCTAGCAAAAAATACCCAAAAAAGAACTTTACGTGTTAGTTAAAGAGTGGCGTTGGACAGAAGCTGTTAGCATTTTTTAAATGAAAGATAAAAAAAATCGCTTTTCTAAGAATTCACATCTTGTTTACTTTGAGCGAATATGTAATCTCTGGCCTCTGTCTATTTCCTGTACACTTATCGTAAACTCTAGATTCTAGTTTCCAAAGCGTGGGCAAAATCGTCATGCAAATGGGGGCAAGCAAAGAGAGTTGGTATATCGTACGTTTCTGGCGTCTTTTATTGACATTCACTTTAAGCACAACCGTCTATAATTACAAGCCGTGCTGAGAATTATGGCAACACTGCATGGTAGGCCGATTTCCTAATTCAACTTGACAGATTTCAGGTGTATTTTATATGTGTTTTGGGTGTAATATTCCTATTTACTTGTTTTAACAGAGCGAGATTGCGTAAATTTGTGTTACTCCGTATGGAATCAACAGAAATTATTATTCAGGTAAGTTGCTAAACGAAATATATCGATTTGTTGTCATAACCTCTAAAGCAGACTACTCCTTACTGGACCCTTTACAAGCACTTGTATTTGTTCAAAGTACCTGTACAAGCTCAAATATGACCTACACACTACATGGTACGTAAGTACGGTAAGTGTTTATCGTGAAAAAACACAATTAGTTTGTATTTCAGGTATTCTAGCACGGACATGTCAAGTCGATTTTCTGAAGGAACCGTCCCAGGAGTTCACGGTACGGGAATTTGAAGTCTACGGTGCTCCCCTCTTTAAAAGCTACGTACCTAGACCCACTGGAGTAGCGACTGGCTTAAAGTTTGCCATTCCGAATCACACCTGGTCGTTGATAAAACCTCGCTGATGCAGAGCGATTTACTGTCCTTTTGCCGAAATTAAGTGCTCAAGCGTGTGCTTTACCTCGACCTCTTTCGACAGAAGTTCACCAATTTCGTAGATCTCGATGGAAAACACATTATAATGCATTTACCAATTTACAGCGTTCCGAATTTTAAAGTCAAATAAAAATGTTATTATCCATTTTTGTAAATAAATAAAATATATGTACAATTGTAAGCTGCCTAAGTATCTTTCTTCTGTATTAAAACCACCAAGGCGAAACACAGGAGAGAGGAAAAATGCCATATTTTTCAAGAGAAACAAGACGCCATTAAAACTTGAATCGGCCCACCGATTGACTTTCGAACAATGTTGCCAAACTTCTCAGCATGGCTTGTAATTATAGACGGCTGTGCTTTAAGCATGATGATAAGGTAGGTACATGTGGAAGGGTGGGCTTGCTCAACTCTATAATACATTATGAAAATGTATATTCATTAGTAAAACGACACTATGGAGACGTCTAAAATAAATAGTTCTTTCAACGATTTTTCAATGCAACATTACCTTAAGACAAAGTTTGAGACGGAATTTACAATAGATGTCCCAGTGCAATGGCAACAAAGTGGTAGAGAGGCACTCCTGGTAGTATCGACCAGGGTCACATCCTCCACGACAATTGACTAAGTTCTGGGAGAGGCCGTTACGCCAGGCATATGCCAAAGTATCAAGTATCCTTCCATAGTCCCAAGTCGTGTTTAGGGCGTGGAACGTTCATTCTAAAACTCGACAGATTCTCCTAGCTCTGATAGATCTTCAAGGGAAATCACCAAAGTGACGTCGAGGAGCCTGGGAAATAGACAAAGTTAGAACTAGTGTGTAAACTTATATCATACGTCATCCGTTGAGCGGTCCAATCTATTTTTATGTAATTTTTCAAATTTTGATAGCACAAAAAACAAAAGGCAAAAGGTATCACAATGTGACACTGTTGTAGGTCGTGAGTCAGGTGACAAATTGCTCCACAAAAAAGGAATGTGGTTTTGGAGGAAAATTATAACTGACTGAGATGATAATTGCAACACCGCCAGGGTTGCAAAAAATCTCCATACTTGGGTGTGTAAGCGGTAAATTTCGAAAATCCAACTGGTCGCATATTCAATACGAAATCGATTTGTTAATTAAGCGCAAACAATTTGACACCAACATCTTGTCCATCGGCACTTCTTCACTATAACTCATTTAATTAGTGCATGCTAATTATATACACTCGAAAGGCCATGTAAACGGAAGCTCATGAACTCTTTGCATTAATTAACTTTATGTTAATTGCAAGTTTTCGGACACAGAGCCGGCTGGCGGTTATTTAATTCTTGCAGGTACGCCGCCAACTGATAACGAGCAAAACAATTCGCTTCGGAACTTGTTCTATACTTATTATGGGGAACTAAAACGGCCTATAAACAATTAACGGGGCTGAAACCAAAAAATATTAATTGTCCATCTTCTCCAGAACAAGGCACTTCGGTGGTTACAAAAATAATTCCAAAACAGGAACGGTCGTAGGAGCACTAACTAGTTACGGCCCTCCTGGTCTCTATGGCATCGCGGAAAGTTCTCGAACTTACGGTTTTCTATGTAACGAAGCCCAAACCAATCGTTACTATACAGGGTGGTCCTCGTAAACGGCAAACTCAATGCAGAAATTCCGGGTGCTTCGTTACAAGAAATAGTTTTTATCTGGTCAGATGTTTTTTGTAAAATACTGTTGTCGGACAAATTAATTGGCCTTGTTTATTAACAACGCCACGTGCAAGATAACGAATGCAGGTGTATAGGCGACGAAGTTTCTGGAATCGCCAGGGAACAACGATATGGAACTTATAGTACCATGCGATCAAAATTGAGTTGCTGTCAAGTCACCTTTGGAATTTTTGTTTACACGGAAAATCGTACTTGAACTTCCAAAGGCGACTCGACAGCAAATCATTTTTTGCACTCCTTTGTTCTAAATCGCGTTTTCCCAATAAAACACGAACGTCGGGAATGTCAATTTTACAATTGACTATCTACTTTCGCGCACTAGTGCCTAAAAATTCAACGAAATTATCTATTTAGTGCGGATCATAAACTAAAAAGTAGTATGATGGAAGAGTAAAAAAGAAAATATAAATACACTTTACATCATTCCCTGTAGTACACGGGCAAAAATAAGCTTAAACCAGAAGTTTGGACATTAAATTGACATTTTAAATTTCTAGATTTCTACTTTATCGGCATAGAGGACTGGATTTTTTCAAAAGAATTATAATGTCGCAAAAATCTCGCGAAAAGGTTTTGAATTTATATAAATTCGATTTAACTAATCCGTGCAAAAAATAGAATACATTTTACGTGCGTGAACAGTGTTTGCTTGATTCGCGCGACATGCGTCGCTCGTGCGCGTTGCGCACTCGCGCCGTCAAACTTCGCGCTCATCTGCAAAATAACTGTTCCCGCACTAATAATGTAAATAACTATTTGATCGCCCGTTACGAAGAATGAAAAATAAACGAGGCTGTTTTTCGGGTCGATTGAAAACGCGTATGCGATTGTCGTGCTAATTTATTACGAGCAAGTTTTTGCCGAATAAAGAAGTTTTTTACGTTACAATTTTTGCGCCTGCGATACCTCAGTTAAGAAGACAAAGTCGTTGTCCAGTTTTGATAAACTGTTGTTTAATTAAAAATCCTACCTCCCGATCAACCATGATAATTACCGGTTGACTTCATCCAACAAGTTATTGGATTACCGAAGAACTGTGAGTTTTAAAAGTTGTCAATTTGAATATTAATTTGAGTAATCTGTGGGTAGTTTTTAGCATTGGAAATGCTTATGTTTTGTATGGGTATGAATTTACCAGGTTTGCCGAGTAGAAAAGAAGACAAGTGGTGTCGCGTCTAGTGTTGATTGTACCGTACTCGACGGCAATCGGTAGATTCAGGAAAAGTCGCATATTGTCGATACGATACTTCTTTAACAGTGCGCGGGAGTTTTGTTAATTCGAATTTAAAATTCTCGCACATCGCCCGTGATAGTATTACAAGCATGTACGCCGCTTATTATTCAGAAAGTTTACGTTTGTGACACGAGCGAGCTTGCGAGCGAGTGGAGCAAGCTTATTCCGTGTGAATAAGGGTTATTTATGGCTTTATAGGTTATACGGTTATCATTTCCAATGGTTGCAAGGATTGCGAAATCTGCGAATTTTTTATTTGTCCGTCTTATATACGGATTGTGTGTGTTCAGAAAGGCACTGTTAGCCTTAACTTTTTCTTACAGGTTTTTGTATTTGATTTTTTTATCATGATACGTCTTCAAATAAATTCTTGTAATTTCGTGTTATTTAATCAATTGGGTTTCATTTGAATCCTGATTTGAGTTCCAGGTAAAGTTTTAATTTTCCGTGTCTGATTTTACAAATTTTACAAGTTGAAACTCTGATCGTTTCCTCCCATTACAACAATTCCGTGACAGATATAGTTTGTCGATCCAACAATTTAGTCTGTTTGATGTAGCGACATTATTTATGATTTCGTTTTGCGCAGATCCTCGAGAAGTTAAGATATACAATGTTAGCAAATCATAAAACGATAAAACTGTAGAAAACAAATAGGTACATCGTTTTCGTGTTTGTAGACCTTGGTGCTAAAATATGAGTCGTATTCGCTTCCACCTAAATAAGTGACGTTTCCAAAGTCAACTTGCATCCAAAATGACGTACCCTAAAATTGTTTTCTACGTGGCATTAATCGTTTCCCACCAATAGAAGACACAGTTTTCTCTGCTATACAACTCGATAAACCATGTACCTATTGGAAATAGGCCATTTCCCAGAACGTTAAACTCAAAGTTGAAAATATTGTTTTGACTTCCTAACAATTTTAATTAATGATAGATACCATTAAACTATGAAATATTTGAAACTTTCAACCTAAACAGTTCACCATGGAACTCTCTATTCCTCGTGAAGATTTCATCGTTGTTTTTGGTTATAAATCGCCCCAGTAATACGAAGTTTAGTACGTGGAAATATTAAGATTAATTTTGTCCTTCTATTTGTTGACCATGTTTAGTAGATCATTTAAAATATTACGGTAGTACCTATCTATGCATAACAAGGTTGTAAATCTGCGATAAAGTAGGTAGTCTCCCCTTGGTATAAAAACGGGTTATCCAACAGAGCAGACACCACCCTTCTTAACGCATCGTCTACATCCAAAGTCATGAAGGTAATATTTGTTAATTCACATTTCCTAGTTATCTTTTTTATATTATTTTAATTAGAAAGTGGCATTAATTACGCTGATGGTGATAGTTGTAATTGCCGTCTTTATAGACCACGCTAATGCCCAAACTGACAGGCCGTGCACTGAAAGCTGTACAGACTGGAATGCTTGTAAAATAATGAAGATGTGGAAAGATGAAGATGTAGCCGAGTGCGGTGATCTTCCGAGAGGATGCATGTGTGATGTCATATAGCAACGGCAGATAAGGGCATATCTGGGTGTTAAAAGATTCTTTTTTGTTGTACGTAGGTAGTAACATTTAACTTCACTTCACCGTTAAAAGCATCACATTCAGCTTGGGTGTGAAACATTCACTGGATGGCATGCATAAGTAGCCTTATTTAGTTTACTCTTCAATCTTATTAGGTATATGCATGCTTTGTTGCACTTTTATTTAAATCAATGCGTTTGTTTGGTTTAATACCAATACATTAGAGAAAACAAGCACGTATTTAATTAGTAGGAATAGATGATTTGATTCACATATGGATGAAAACCTGCAGTATTGTACAAGCTACCGGGAATGCAGGATGCAAGCACTACCATAGTGGTAAAGGCCAGCGTGCTTGTCCACAAAGAAACTGTAATTGTAGTGGGCAATTTGCACGCTACCCATCTACTTCTAAAGGGCACAGGAAGAACGGTATGAGTGATCGACTTTGTAGTTCAATGGTAGAGCGCTGGGCTATAAAGTCGGAGGTCGGGTATTCAAACCTGGACCGTGGTAATTTTTCATCTGTGACAGGGAAGGGAATTTCGTTAGAACAGTTTCGAGCATTCTGCCGGCTACTGCGCATTAGGTTTTCCTGCAGTTTTCCTAGTTCGTAAGGTAAATACCGGAGTAGTATATGACCATCTGCAGAGGTAGTAGGTAGAGAAGATGCCCATATTCTTGATTTTCTACCCAATTCAAAGCTTAAACCAAGTGTCTTCGATTCTCATTGGTTTTTTTATTATTTCATTAAATACGTAATAAAAAGCCAATTTTTGTTCAGTTGCTTTTTCGCTGTATAGGATTCTCAAGAGACATAGGTCTCTAGCAAAAAATACCCAAAAAAGAACTTTACGTGTTAGTTAGAGTGGCGTTGGGCAGAAGAATGTGTAATCTCTGGCCTCTGTCTATTTCCTGTACACTAGAACTACCGGTTCTAGTTTCCAAAGCGTGGGGCAAGCAAAGAGAGTTCGTATATCGTAAGTTTCTGGGCGTCTATTATTGACATTCACTTTAAGCAAGATGGTAAGGTAGGTACATGTGGCAGGGCGGGCCTGCTCAACTCTATAATACATTATGAAAATGGACATTCATTAGTAAAACCACACTATGCAGACGTCTAAAATAAATAGTTAAAACTTTCGATTTTTCAATGCAACATTACCTTAAGACAAAGTTTGAGATGGAATTTACAATAAATGTCCCAACGCAATGACAACAAAGTTGTGGAGATGCACCCCTGCTAGTTCCTGCCAGGGTCACATTCCCACGACAGTTGACTAAATTCTGGGGGAGCCGGTTACGCCAGGCATATGCCAAAGTATCAAGTATCCTTCCATAGTCCCTAGTCGTGTTTCGGACGTGGAACGTTCATTCTAACACTCGACATATTCTCCTAGCTCCGATAGATCTTCAAGGGAAATCACCAAAGTGACGTGGAGCAGCTTTAGATCGCCCGGGAAATAGACCGAGAAATAACGACAATTTTGTGCGGTGATTAGTAAACGTTTGTGACCGCAATTTTCTCTTTACAAAAGTTAGAACTAGCATGTAAACGTATATCATACGTCATCCGTTGAGCGGTCCCATCTATTTTTATGTCATTTTTCAAATTTTGATAGCACAAAAAACAAAAGGTATCATAATGTGACACCGTAGTAGGTCGTGAGTCAGGTGACAAATCGCTCCACAAAAAGGAATGTGGTTTTGGAGGAAAGTTGGTTATCGATGATAATGGGGTCATCCCGCCTTCATTATTTATTTCTGATCCACAAAGTACATTAAAAATCAAAAGACCCGTGTGTCCTCAATTTTTATTTGCGAGTAAAATAAACCCAAAATAAATTATTGAAAAGCTGTGTTTTTAGTCCGAATTTGAAACGCTTCAGACTAAATACGTCACAAACCTACAACCAATCCCGTAGAAGTGAGCTGGCAACCTTACGCGAGGGTCTGACGTTTGTCACATTTGACATTTTGAGAGGGATGTTTAACTGCATCTAGCACGAAAGTGACAGGTGCCTGTGACAGATGACGCAAGTTATAAATTCCATTCTCCTGCAATATTGCCAAGTCGTTATGTCATCTGAATGGTTCTAGGAGCTGATTGGTCGGGCTTATTACGTCACAGAGCCCGCCACAATCATATCGTTTTGAATAAACCTTTAAAACCGCACATGTTCATTATTTTTTTGCTAATCAGCCTCTATTTTTAAATAAACTTTTACAGTCCAATGTTTTATGGTTTCAGGTACACGCTTATTAAATTAAAAATTGCGGAATTCAACTATACTGTAAACCCCCATTGCAACACCGCCAGGGTTGCAAAATACTTGGATGGGTAAACGGTAAATCGGGCATTTCGTTTTTTCTAACACACGCTAATTTTTATTAAAATTTGTACGATTAGGCCATTAATAAAAACCCTTTCGTTTTCGGGTAAGTGAAATTCTAATCAGCGGAAACTAAATTTGTCTTCCGCGAAAATATTTAGCCGTCTCCGGGTTGGGGTTATTAACGGTACACGTCGAGATAAACACGTCGTATCAAGCGATCTTTTAACAACATCGAAATTTAACTATTTACGGGAAAGGGCGCTCTCGGATGCGAACCATAATCAATTACATCTCAATGAAAAGCAATGGTTGCTCGCCTCAATGTGTTACCGTAGTATATTCTTTGGTAGTAGTTAGTGGTATCTATGGAAATACTCGCGGAAATAGCGAGTACGGGCGAGGCCTACGATACTTACGTACGGGATATGACACCACGCCACTACATTTTGCTAGAAATATTGTAGTGTGAACTAAACGGGTGACGGGTCATTTCTTTATGGTGAAGCAATGCCGAGGATGAGAAGCGAGCCACCCTTCATTTAAAAATCTAAGTGTTGTTAACGTAATTTCGGCTTAAGCATTGGAAATAGCAGTTGGGACATCCCGTATGTAAAATTTTTAAATTGTCATTTTAATGTTAGTTTTTTTAATTGTAAACTTAGTAATTGTTTAAGTCATGTAATCGTAATTTCGAAGTAAAAAAAGCGACGAATTTCAGCTGCTAGCGCATAGCCGGTTAGCTTCAGGAAATAAAACCAATTAGTGGAAGTATTTTCAAAGCTAATTTAATTAAATATATATTATAATGTATATTGTATACAGGGTCATTCTTGACGAGCGTCAGTTAGAAAGATATGGAAAACCTTTGAAAATGAAGATAAACTGATAAGTTCTTTAAGGGTTTTGGCACATGATGAATTGAACTAAAATATTTTCAAAATGGCGCCACTTCCGGAAATACCGGAAGTAGCCATCAACTTTGTTATTTTAAATAGGGACCCCCTATTTTTTCTACATTTTCGCATTCTACGTCGAATTTGGAGTACAACGATACCCCATAGTTGACCCTTTGCTCCAAGGGCTTCGCCGATATTCAAGTTTTTGTGTCAAAAATTGAATTTGCAGGGGTAATTTTAAAAATTTATTATTCGAAAACGGTGAGAGATATTGCAAAACAGTTTTCAATGCTTTATTAAAGAAAGATCGAATTTTCTTATGGTATGCGTAACAGTCTAAAAAAGTGAGACTACGTCACTTTTTCAAAGCTCTCAACTTTTAAACTTTTAAATATCCGTAACTCCATTTTTTTAAATGGCACCTCCCATTTTGTTCTTCACCCTTGTTTTCCTTTTTCCCAGACCTTTAATTCGATGCAAAATGTCAAAAGCTGCTTCAAACGGTTTCCGAGATATTCCATGTTTTAGTTGCTTCTTGTGGAAAATTGATAAAAAAATTAAGTCGCTTGATGTTATTCTTTTGTTTTTATTATGATAATGTTTAAACGTCAAATTTTTCGCTGTTTGAACTTACACCACAGAATACGGCCTTCTCAGAATAGAAACAGCAATGTTACAAATTTGTATCATAGATATATAAATACCTAGATACAGCCATCCTTAACAAACGTACCTCGGTTTTTAAAAAACATATCAAAGAAATTTGTACATCTCTCCATTACTTTCTAACTAAGAAGAAACATGTTCTATCTCTTTTTATTGCATTAACCACTATGTCGTACGCGAATCGGACGCTTAAAACAAACTTAGCGCGTCTCATAAGTCATGTGACAGTTGACACATTTCACGATCGCGCGAAATCAAATCTAACTAAAAATATTCGCCCTAAACATGATGGGCGGTTTTTTCACTAAATATTATGTAATTATTGCGTTATCAATTGAATACGAATAAGATTAGTGCTTGCCATAATGATAGACGCGTCCATAATTGTTATTCCTGAAATAGTTTTATTACATAGAGCTACGCCATTCAAATTTGGGACTATGTTTACCTTGTTTGGCATGATGTGCTGCAGTGAATTCATTGCTGGCTTGCAGAATATCAAAAAAACCGTAAGTAAGTAAAGATTATGTTCAACATTTTAATTGCCTGGTTTTAGGCGTAATGGTAACGGAGATTACGTTGCGACAGGAAGTGAATTCGTTTCCAATTATCATTTTGGCCTATATGATGTTGATGCAGTGCGTTTGTATCATGATCACAAAGAAGGATCCGTGCAATATTCTTAGGAAAACGAGATTTATAGACTGTGTGTGCGTGCAATATCAAATTTTGGTCGCTACGCGTCTTGCCTACCTTTCGGCATATGTCCAATCGGTGGGTTTTCTTTTTGAAATTATAGTGCTAATTGTAGTAAGTAAGCTACACGTGTACATTTATTTAAAATAAATACAACATCTTAACAATGATATCCAATGTGATAATACTCATTTAGTGAACATTCATTACGTTTGTAAAAGTTCACAATCCGAATAATCACTGTCATTATTAACACTTATTTTAAAGTTCAGAAACATCAACCAATATAACTTCTCTTTTAAATTAATCACTTTCCACATGTTCACACACTTTCTTCCAGTTGTCAGCTGTAATTTTTTCAAATTCTTCATTTGCCAGCTTTCTAAGTAACATCTTCCATTTTAAATGTAACATTTCTTGCTGCTATGCGATTTAAATAAATAAAAAGGCGGTTTATTTATGTTGTAAAGTCTCAAATATGATAATTTTCTGTGCGATTTGTGCTAACAATTTGATTGACAGTTATAATAAATAATGCGAATCTTGTCTTCCATGCTCAGGGTACCTCTATAAAGGATAGCGCTATACGTAATTAATGTGCCGAAAGTGATGGTAATAGATGGTACGTCCTTTTGAACT